TCTGGTACTAGTTTTATGCTGATAGGTCAATAAATGATCCCATTATGCCAGATGAAGGGCCAACTTTTCCAGCAAGTCACAACTTTTCCAGCCTTATAACATTATACTTACGAAGTACGAAACCATGCCTAGTGGCAATACAAAGCTAAGCAGGTGTGTGCTTTGCTCAGTTCTGAACACAATGACATGCAGTCTAGTGAGATGAGGTAGGAGCTCGCGACTCATTGTTTTGATGCGTTTTGAGCAGTTATTTATGAATATGACACCAGCAATGTAGCAATGCGGGCCCGCTGCATACGTCCCCCGGCACCGTCGGTTGCCGCCCGCGTGTCGCACCGTTCACAGATCGCCGTGCAACAGTTCCCAAAAAACGCCGCTGCTCGGTGTCAAAACATGAATAATGAGTGCCCCATCGACATATTAAAGACAAATTTGGGCGCGATTGCACAATGTGCCGGAGAGGTATCCTCAGAAAACCTTAAAAGGGACGCATCGACCCCCCCCCCCCTCCGCCTATCAGGGCGGGGGTGATATTTGCCCCGACAGCCCAATTGATTAATTTTGCAATTTTCTCACCCACAGCTGGTTGAGTTTGAGTCGTTTTAGGCGCTCTTTGTTTTCGCTAGGCTGGGATTACATGCGGCCAGTTGTGGAGGCCACGCTAAAGGTCAGGTGACGTCAGAGGGCAGGACGCACCGTGTCGGGCATTGCGGCACTTCAAGCTTTCGCTGCAAAATGATGCCGCTGACCCATTATTTCTGGATCGCATCGTGGGGCCAGGGCTCAAGCACTAGCCCTGCTTCGCTTTGGTGGTGATCCCAGGAACGTAACTAATGAAAAGGTTCGAACTAAATCTGGGACAAATATATATAATAAAATTTTCCCCGAAACCGGTTGTTCAGGAAGAACATGAACGCCATGTTGGCATGTAAATGAAGCCCAACAAGGCTGCTGGATGGCCTTGAAGGTGGAACAGCGGTAATCATCGAATCGTTTTCACATGAGCCTTGAATATTTTCCCACCAAGGAGGCAAGGCATAGGGTGCAGCCTGCTTGAAAAATTACGTTGTTGGTCGCGCGGCTTTTATCAGGGTCTGGCTTGCCGCAAATGCACACACCTCACTTGTTGGGCAGGCTGGCCCTCGCACATCGGTCTGAGGGAGATCCCGTTTCAGGGAGTTCCGTTTTGTCCATACTAATTTGCAACCTAAGGTGCTGTTACACAATGACCGCTTCACCACAAGTGATCATCATGCCCAGACGTCAGAGAGATGCTGACCTCAAATCCGCCATTGTGTACACTTGAGTCGTGGGCCATCGTGTGTTGTGTACAATTCAAGGTTTCACTAATTCAAAGTTCTTGTGTTGAGGTAACGGCCCAACTGGTCATTGACTCAATATAAAAACTTTGAACTCATGACGTCAAAAAGGACGTGAAGGTTCTTATCTCTCTTACCAAGTGTCATAAAATGCCATTTTTCATGAATACTTAACAAGCAGGGGTCTAGTGATGCATCATTTACTCGCCAATTCACAACTAACTTGCTTGGGGAATGGCTGCTTTGGCTGGTATAGTGCGGCATAGTGCACGTTTGGATAGTACAGGAACCTCGGCTTGGGTGCGAGTTTAGTCAGAAATCGCCTTGGGTGAGGTCTTTCGCTCGGATGGTCTGAGACTGTGCATCTCAATTAATATCACGCATTATGCTGTGTACCGCGTAATGTCACGGAACGGGACGGGGCTTCGACGAAGCCAGTGCTTGACCCACAGACGTGAGAGCTTGGATCAGTTCTGTCTCAGGTGAGAGAAATGCGTTGTGTTCAAGGCGAATAACAAGAAGCAGAGATCCGCTCGTGATGCACTCACATCCCAGGCAGATCGGCCGTGCATACTCTGCCTGGTGATCTTCGCACGTCAAACGCTCTATCGTTTTTAGGACGGTGGACACTGCGCCCTGGAAGCCTGATCTGACAGAAATAATAGTCGACAGTGAGCCGTGCACTGGTCAGATCTGTCAGTTTTGATCGACGATGAGCATGTGGATGGGCAGTGGTCACCGTCTTGAGGACTATCACGGCTCGAAATATTGGGTGACGTCAATATAATCGTTGCTTAGAACTACGCCGTTTACCAGTACCTCCTGGAACATTGAAGGACGTTTTCTCAACATGAGAACTTCCAACTCACAATGTACTTGTTTGGTATCGCTTAGCTGAAACCTCGGGCACGAGATACAGACATTAATGTTCGCAAAAAATCCTCTAAAAGTTTCTGATTTTTTTTCCTTATTTTTTCCGAAGGCGAAATAAAGGGGCTGAAATCAGAGGAAGGGTACCGGTAGTGTAGGGCTTAAGCTACGCACCTGGAAAAACAAATGTGTGTGATTCTTTTCCCCACGGCGTCCGCCTTCTTCCGGCCGGGGTGAGAGACGGGAAACACCATCTAGCTTCATGTGCTGAGTACGTTGTAAAGCCCCAATGACTCCCCAATGATTTAAGATTGGTCCTTTTCAATAGTGTCGGGGTCCTTAGTCCTAATGAAGACGTGTGCAGGCGAGCAAGGGTTCTATTGAACGTGGGCTGACAGATTATTTAGCACCAATCCTTTCGGCCACGCCTCGCAGTGGGCCCCTGTCTCGGTGCGCCAGTCTACGTCGCCATGCCATTTTCAGATTCGACGCCCTGAGGCTGTCATGTTGGGCTCCCCACAGCGGTGTTCTTTCGCGACTTCATGCCCAGTGTGAACCGCGCTGGAAACTTATTGGCGACGGATATTGACTGGTGCACAATATTGTCGTGAATGATGAATGCTGTTACAAGTAGTCATTTATGTTCACTTGGTGTCATGGGATGTTATTGTGGGATGTAACTCAAGCTTTTTCGCGCTCGAAAAACATGTGCATAGGCTGGATGGTGACACCATTGCGGTGGATTAGCCAGTGCCTCAGACCTCCCTATACTGGGTTGCCAGGCTGATAGCTGGTGTCAATGACCATCTGTCTGTTGTTGACAAAGTTCAGAGTTCAAAGGTGAGTACTATGTGCGTTGTAAGCTTCAGTGCATGCCGCACCCACCCGACTTACTGTTCCCATCTAGAAAACAACTTCTGTGTTTGTCTTATGTCCTTCTCTACGCGTCAAAGCCGTTCATTTTTTGTTATAAAAATATTAGGTATGAATGAATGATATATCCTGTAAAGGCATCGTGTATGGCTGAATTGCGCATGCCATCTTAAGTAAACAGTTATTGGGTTTTAAAGGCGCGTCAACTGCAATGGCTATTCGCACCCCATCTCCAAGTCAAGCAGCGAAGTGCATTGGAAAGTCTCATCCGAACTTAAAATTTATCCACGAACTGTGTGCTCCTGCACCCGTCACTGATGCAAAAACGATAGATGTGCAGACCATGATACCCCCCGATACCCCCCGATACGCGTATTGTACAATACGGGACACCAGAGCATGGAGCGATTGGGAAGTGGCATTCTTTGGTAAGGAATAGAACGGGCAATATGACAATTATCCGTCACATGCGCCACGTGTCACGTTGCACACGTGCTTGAAAATGGATTTGACTGTTTTCGACGAGTTTTCACGTATTTACGATATTTGTGTGCCCCGGACACGAAGAGACTCGAAAGTGGCATTCTTCGATAGGCACTCTAATGAGCAATTGCTCGGTTTAACGTGCCATTTCGCACATGTCACGTGTCAAGCGCACACTGGCTCTGAAGATTCACTTTGCCGATACCGTCAGTTTTTACGTTTTACGCCACATTTTCGCACCCAGAGCACGTGGCGACACGGACGTGACATGCTGCGACTAGCTATTCAACGGACAGTTCAGGTATTCCAAGTGAGGGGATTCGCGTGCCACTTGCCGGGCACACAAGAGGTGGCGAGGCGGATTGTGCTCTCTTCTTCAGGTCGACACGTTTATGCCACTTCCCAGCACCCAGGGCACGGACCCACTCGGGAGTGGCATGCATCGATAGGGGATCGAACGGACAAGAGCGTTGTGTAAGTGTTTATGTTGCACGTGCTGTGTGTCACGCGGGATGATCCAGAGAGATTGATTTGTCGATTTCCGCCCGTTTTCACATTTTGCGCCATGTCTCGGCACCCATAGCAGCGACAGGCGTGGATCCAACTGCAACACATAGATGGCCTAAATTGCCTCCTTTTAAAAGTAAGCTCAGCAAAGGAAGCGTGGAAACGCTTGTCAACTGCTTATTGTGTTTTACTAGTCTAGGTAAGCTGTGGCTGGCAGATTTTCGGGCCGGCGGCAAGCTGGCAGCTGATTTTGTGACCGACTGATGCTTTTGTCTCATGCAAGGTCTCGGAATCAGCTTAAGTGTTTGCCTCGAGCTGTAAACTCACCCCTCTTTTGTAATTTAATAAAATAAATTTAAAGCTGTGCCACGTTTCCAAGACCAGCACCGATGTGGTAAGAACTTTGCAAACTTCTCCAGTTTCCTGGGCCTGCAAACATTTAGGAGGTCTGGCTAGGCAGTGCATCGTGTAAATGATTATATGGATAGCATCGCATTTTTTGCAATTCTTGCAAAACATTGAAAAATGGCTATGAGGAATTAAAGCAATCATGACTTTTTCCAATAATTAAAAGGCAATGACTTGCTTTAGTCTCTGTTTTATTTCACCGCTTTCTCTCGACTTTAAGAACACACAAATCATGAGCCGGCTGACACCGACCCTCCGGTTGGCTCCACATCCATGACTTCGGTGATTAAGCAGTGGACATGCCGACCGTTAGAGGGGTGGTGTTAACCTGTGCTAACCGGCGGTTATTCATAGTACCCCTGTGTCAGCGACCCGGTGCGGCCCGGCCACCGGGGAGACGGAACCGTCGGCGTGGTGTGAGGATGCACGAGGTCGGATCGGCGTGGCGGCCCCGCGGGCTCGGGCCCCGAACAGGTCCGCTGTCGTGAGGCCGACCGGAACGCGTGGGGCAACCTCTGACGACATATACCTCCCCCGCAGGTTGGCAACAAGTATGAGCACCTGTACAAGATCCTCATCATCGGTGAGCTGGGCACCGGCAAGACGTCCATCATCAAGCGCTATGTACACCAGTTCTTCTCGGCCCACTACCGGGCCACCATCGGGGTCGACTTCGCGCTCAAGGTGCTCCACTGGGACCCCAACACCATCATCCGGCTGCAGCTTTGGGACATCGCCGGTAGGTGCCTCTGCCGTCTGGTGGCCGGGTGAGCGGCCATCGACCATGCGGATCTCTTCGAGAGCAGGGGCGGTCTGGCGTGCCAGACGAAGCGGTTGTTGAACTCGTCACAAATGGAGCGGTTGGAAAAAAAATCAGTTCCGTTACCTCGAGTTTGGTCTGATTGAGACGGGCCCGGAAAGCAGACCACCCGTAATGAGGCTAGGTTTACATGTAACTCTGTTTTTGAGACGGAAGACGTATCGTCAGATTGTGGCTTGCGACAGTTATCTTTTGTCCAAATGAAAAGCACCAAATATTTCTTCTATTACTTTTAACTATTCCTGTGGCATGTAGTGCTGTGTGGTTTTGAATAGTTCTCGTAGTAAGTCGCGTTTTAGGAAGGGGGATTCTGCTAATCCTCACCCCTGATATCTGAGAACCGCTGCCTGGGTTCTCGAGTGAACCGGTACAGAGGTATGCTCTTTCGGAAAATCGTGGTCGATTCTTCGCAGCATGCAGGATATCTTTCTAGAGCACGTAATTTTGAATTATTTGAAGAGGCCGATTTTCATGCAAAAAACGTGGTACGATGCCTGTCGTGCGTGTAAATCAGTTCAGAACGTAAACATTAAAGGTGCATCCAGGTAGTACCAAGAGGGATACTTAGTTGGTCCGGGAATATGCAATGTTTCAGACGGTTCTCTGCACACAATACGAGGATCATAGCATTGGCACATGATTGTCATGTACAAATCATTGATGTAATTCGAGATGTGACGTGCATAAAGTACATAATTCTAAGTAGTAAGTAAGCGGAACAACAGAGGTCGAAAAGACTAATTTTGACGGCTTGCCACACTGCATCACTTTTTACCTTCTCGGCACCTGACTGATTTTGACGGCTTGCCGCACTGCATCACGTTTTACCTTCTCGGCACCTGACCAATTTTGGCGGCTTGCCGCACTGCATCTTCTGCACCTGCACCTGCACCTGCACCACTGCATCACTTTTTACCTTCTCGGCACCTGACCAATTTTGGCGGCTTGCCGCACTGCACCTTCTCGGAGCCTGACTGATTTTGACGGCTTTCCACACTGCATCACTTTTTACCTTCTCGGCACCTTACTAATTTTGGCGGCTTGCCACACTGCATCACTTTTTACCATCTCGGCACCTTACTAATTTTGGCGGCTTGCCACACTGCATCACTTTTTACCATCTCGGCACCGTACTAATTTTGGCGGCTTGCCGCGCTGCATCATTGTTTACCTTCCCGGCGCCTATCTGTGGTGGAAACAGATGCATAACTATGTTAAGGTACTATTTTGGGACGCATACAGCTATCATGAGGATCCCGAAACCCATTTCAGCACAACAATAGTAAGAGAAAAGGTCTTGGATGTTCTTTTCATTGCGACAGAAGTATATAATGTCTAGGTAATATTTTCGTTCAAACACATACATCAGCTGCGTGCCAAGGGTGTCCAAAGAGGGACAGAGGTATGTCCTGGACATTTAAAAGGAGAGGGGTTCACCAATATACCGCATGCAGTTTCCCAATTTCTCAGTCCGCCCTTCCCTACCTTGGAGCCCACCCATGCTCAGAGATATTGGTTCTTATTTCTTCTTACTTCGAACACATGCTTATTTTATGCAACGTCCTGGCGGAGCTTTTATAGGCAAATAGACTCCTATTTGCTCGACCCAACGTCTACCTGTCACCCCATTCATAGTACCTGGGCTCGCCTGCAGCGCTTATAATTATCTGATCGGCGTGTCGAAATGAACATAGCAAAAAATAATCTGTAACGTTAAGAGATTTGACATAATCCCTATACAACTGTCTACGTATCCAGGAGAACCGCCGCTGCAAAATGTTCAGGTCTGGTATATGTTATTGATACTTTTTGCACGTGCACATGTGTGCAGACACTGTGCGCTCATCGTATACTATTGTTGCATATTCGTCCTGATAGCTCAGTTGGACCGTTTTCCCTCCGACTGACCCACTGTTAGCGGACTGGGTTCGAGTTGCAGTATTGTTGCATATTCCTGATAGCTCAGTTGGACCGTTTGCCTTCCGATTGACCCACTCTTAGCGGGCGGGTTCGAGTCTCTTTAGGCGCTTGCTATTTGCCGCTGAGTGGGCCGGCCCGCTGCGGTGGCAGGTGCCGCGTTAAACGGCGGGTGACTCTAGAGGGCGGGTGGACAATGCCGCGCTTTGCAGCCCATGCTTTCGTTGTAACTTCATCCCGTCCGACCCGGAAGTTCACGATCTAATGGTGGGGGTCAGGGCTCAAGCAACAGGCATAGCTTAACGTGAGTGCTGACTCCAAAAATTCGTCATATGACAATATTCGGTCTACGTCTTTGAAGGCATATTTTTCTTATTTTATTTTCTGTCTGAACTAACAATATTTGCTTTGTTGATAAAATATATCTAAAGTCACGAAGGCGAGGACATTGACGAGAACAAGGCAAATTTCATCAGAGCTCTGTTCCCAAATCAACCTCTTGACCCCACCGAGCAATGTTGTATTGGAAACTTTGCTTCGACATGTAGAGAGCGTACCTTCAAGTCACCGTCTCAAGGAATCATAGAGGAGCAGAATGTGCACAGTCTCACCATCCCTCGACTCGTCCTGTCCAGGTCAGGAGCGTTTCGGATCCATGACCAGGGTGTACTACAAGGAGGCAGTGGCGGCTTTTATCGTGTTCGACGTCTCAAGATCGGTCACCTTCGACGCCATCATGAAGTGGAAGAACGACCTGGACGAGAAGGTGCAGCTGCCCAGCGGCGAGCCAGTGCCTTGCGTGCTGCTGGCGAACAAGGTCGGTCTCAGCATGCCATGACGTCAGCCGATCATGATAACAGCTGCGATATGGGAACCACGCCCTCAGCTGGCTCACGGACCGCCCCCTCCCCCCCCCCTCCCCGTCCCCGCCCCCTTCCCCACGGCGCCGGGGAATGTAATGGGCGAGGACGACCGGCATTGCGCGCTGCCGGATGAAGGGTTGGCTGGGCCGCCGCAGCCGGCCGGCGTCCAGGGACCCGCCGCATGGGGAATGGTCTTTTTCGGTTTGGCCGCCGTCTGCTGTCACATCAACGGCCAAGGAGAACTGCACAAGGGAGGACTGTGACTGTCCGTTTTGCTATCCGAGTGATCTGGTAAGGTCTTGACAGCAGCGCTGGCGTCATTGTTGTAGAGAGAATTAAACGGGCATTCTCAGAACACGCATCACATGAACGTTTGCCGCTGTTGACACCCCTAATGACGTGTGTAGAAAAGGAAGCTTGTGACCTCTTGCCGCCCATGCCCGCGTCACGCACCACGGCCTGGTAGCACTGGTGGCGAGCGGGGAGGTGACGCCGGTGTGCCGATCGTGACGGATGCATGCCATGTGACCGCGCAGAGTGACCTGACGAAGGAAGGTCTGGTAGCCAGCCCGGAGAAGATGGCCGAGTGGGTGGAGCAGCACGGTTTCGCGGGCTGGTTCGAGACCTCCGCCAAGGAGAACACCGGCATCGAGGAGGCTTCCAACTTCCTTGTCACCAAGGCGAGTGTACTGGAAGGCCTGTAGTACGGTGGCCTTGCCGAATGTTCAGTGCTCTGTTTCATATTCACTTACGACTTCCGGTCACGTAGTCGTCGCTAGCTGGATTACGATGCCCGTGTAGTTGAGAGCAACTGGCCACGTTTGGTCCTTGCGTCGGGCTGATGTATACGGGGGACTATTTCGTATCAATCGTGACATATATCTGGCAGCTCTAGATCTTGCGGTTATTTTTCGTTGGCTTCGATTGCTGTCAAGTTCGTATGCCAAGTGTATATGTACCACATTCGCTGAATGTCACCTGCCCTATAACCAGTAATCATGAGTTGGGTTACCTCGAGTGCGATAATAACTCAGAAAAGGTCTTGTCCACAGACTCGTTTATCGACGTATCTGTTGGGAATGCTGGTCCCAATGATGCCATAGCAGCCGTGCTCAGCCTCTAGACTTGCACCAGCATAGCTCGGCACCATTCCAGACGTCGTTGGCGCGCTTGCTTTGTTTGTGCAACCGGAGCATTTCTATTGCGAGGTCACAGCTGTGCGTCTCCGCTGGGTTTGCATCGGCCCCTGCACACGCCTCACTCGACCTCGCTGTCCGGTCCATCGAATATCAAGCCCAGGCAACGCCATTGCCCCAATCGCGTGATCTGCCTGTGAGGCGTGGTACCGCCACATTCCCTGCGAAAACCCATCGCCAGACAACGGCCACACGATCATGACCCGTTCCTCACCCGGCAGATTCTGGCCCACGAAAAGAGCGGCAACCTGGCGTCGGAGGGCGAGGACGCCGACATGCTAGCCATCAGCGACGGCCAGCCGTCCAGCAGGGGCTGCGGCTGCTAGTGCTGACGCCGCGGCGGCGCCGGCACTCGGCGCCGCTGCGCCGGCTCCAGCGGCCCCAGCGGCGCAGCGGCCGGGGCGGGGTTGTGGCTCCTAGCGCGGGCCCATCCGCCGCCGCCGCGCCGGCTCCAGAGGCCTCAGCGGCGCAGCGGCCGGGGCGGGGTTGTGGCTCCTAGCGCGGGCCCATTCGCCGCCGCCGCCGCCGGCTCGTCGGCGGCGGCGGCGGCGGCGGGTGACGGGCGGCGCGCCGGTCGACCGACAGCGGTGGTGAGCACGTGTGGCGAGCGGGCAGTAACTGGACTGCGGGGCGCAGAAGGACGCGTGGTGCAGAGGCCGCCGAGGGCCGCCGGCACCGGCGCGGAGGCCGCCGAAAGCCGCCGGCGCCGGGCCCGGAGGACCACTGGAACTGTGTTCAGGCGGCTCAGGTGTGCTCCCCGTCAAGACTCGCGGACCACTAGAGCGGTGCCAAGCCGCTCAGGCGTGGTCCAGCGCGCGACGGACCGCATCTTTTACTCCATGCCAGTTCATGTGCTGCCAACATCGTTAATACAACACAGTGCAAGTTAGGTTAACATACTGGGATAGTACTCTTTTACTTGTCCGATTGTTTTGGTATTTTAGACGGTTTTAGAATAGGCCTAGGAATACAACCATCTATATGCATTCGTTGTGTCTTCTTCGGAGTAATCATGTCCTGAGTTTTTAGGCATATTGTGTGCAATGACGGCAACGTAGATTGTGTTTGATACGTCGACGCGTTAAAAAACAGTATTGCTGATCGCATAGCGCACTGGTGTACAAAAGTCACGGGACATTAGATCAATAACCTCTGTGCGTTCCACTTCCCGTCGCGGTACTCGGCATTAGACGTGTTTGAACTCAGCTTAGCAGACACTGGAGCCCACGAAGTATGAAGGGGTATGCTATTTTGTTCCACAGCTATGTTTTCGGACTCCTTTGATGTCTTCTTCCGCTGGACGTGATCGCTGAGCATAGGCTTTGGGTTGCAGGCAGTGCTGTGGTGCCCGTTTGATAATTGGTGTTTTTTTTTCGCTGGGGAGAGTCACCTGTTGTGTTTGTCCCAGGTCATGGCCATTTCTGATCTACGTCAGCTTGGATTACGGACCGGACTAGACCGCGCCAGTCGGAGACAGCGGGGTTCGCGCGGTCGTGGTTTGCAGGCGTTTCATCAGACAGCCACGCATTTTGGCGATCCTAGAAAACTTCTAAAGTTTTAAACTTTTAACTGCCAACCGTCACAGAGCTAAGACAAGACGTGAAGGTCAGCAAGGTCATGCACCCGTGTGCATAGAAGCAGCATACCCGCGGTAGCGTCGTTATCACGCAGCCGGCTTCCCTTTGAACTGATGACGTTTGAGCTTCCGAGGAGAGCGGTGACCAACCTCAGGTCACGCGGCAGTGCGCTGTGGATGCACGACAGGACAAACGACACTCCCTCGCTCCGTGTGGTCACTGTACTACCTCGCGGATCGCAGGTGGGCCTCGCCCGCGACACGGTGCTGGCCGGCTGGTGAGCTACGCTGTCGACGCCGAAGCACCTTAGCGAAAATGACGCTCTGTAGCCCTGCCAAATCAGTGGCCATGAGCCAGCCAGACTTCCGAAACAGATCTGCATCATATTTTTGTAACCGAAAATGGCCTTCGTAGGTAAGGTTAGTGCTTTTGGATCTCGGACAAACTATTTTGTGTGCGATTGCCACGGACTGGGGTGAAGTAGCTGTGTGCTTGACACGATATATGCCCAGTACTCTCGATGCAGATAGGTGTTAACGCTTGAGCACAAGGTTGTCGAAAGAGGCAAAGTGCGCCACTGGGTAACATGGTTAACCCTCGCCATGATCTCGCGTATTGTCATGTCTTTTATGTCGTTGGGTCAATAATTAACCCCACCATGGCAGCGCAATGGTCCATTTTTTTCTTCAGAAAATCGCGCTTCAGCTCCGTAGCATCATACATCTATACCATGTCTCACGGCGACACAGTCTAAATAAGCGTGCTCTTTGTTCAAGTTTGAGTACAATGATCTGTATTTGTATGGGTTTTGAGCATGTGTTTATGATATTTCACCATTACAGGGAATGTTACACATTTCAAGGTGTCAAAGCAAACAGCAGATGAGATGAGATAAGCACGCTTATAACTGTTTGCACATTTTTAGGGGGAAAACGGCTTTACACAGCACACGGTATGTGTTGAGTGTGTACCACAATACGTCATTGCTGATCGCATCATGAAACGCTTGTATGGCGTTAAGGTGCGGCCAAGCTACCCGTGCACAGTTCAAAACACACGCGAACTACCCTAGCTCAAAACACACGCGAACTACCCTAGCTCAAAACACACGCGAACCACCCTAGCTCAAAACACACGCGAACTACCCTAGCTCAAAACACACGCGAACTACCCTAGCTCAAAACACACGCGAACTACCCTAGCTCAAAACACACGCGAATGCATTATTCCACTATTCATTGAGCTGGGGTCGCGCCCATTAAGGTTTCGTGTCGCTACAAAGAATGATCTCGTGTATGAAGTAAAGCTGGAAAAGTGCGATTTTCTGGAAATCTCAACATTTGACTCAGCATAATGTGTTCAGTCATCAAACCTATGTCAAACTAATGCCATTCTATCAAACTAATCAAACCAATCCGATCAAATAAGTGTTATTGACATTGAGGAATCCAGGCGCAACAGCTGTCACCGTGGTAACCCTTGACGTCATGGCACAGCGGAGGGGCGTGTTGCGCCACGACGAGAAATCGCTGGCTGCCCCGAGCAGGAGAGGGGGGGGGGGGGGTCGGCGATCAGGCGTGAGTGTCGGGTGGATGTTGAGGAGAGACTGTGTGAGCAAGGGGTCAGCCCTCTGTACCGCACTTTTTCCACTGCCCGCTGTTAGTGGCGAAAAAGGGTAGTGTCCGCAATCTCCTAGCCGCGACCCCAACGACATAAATGCTAATTTTGTCAATGTCGATCCCCGTGTTGCAAAAACCTGGCTGGTCTTGGACAACCGCCGACGTCCCATGTCGCCTGCCCAGGGTGGGCGCTTGCGGCTTTCGGGTAACTAGCACGACCCTTGGCGGGCTGCACGAGGTCGTGTTCTCCATGAATCATTCCGGGCCGTGTGGACCTGATGGCGTTTGTATTTGCATCCTGCTCCGCCGTTTTGACGTCACTGGCCCTATCCATCTCCACGTTATCAACACCTGATTACCGGAAGCACTCCTCGGTCCATCCTTTTTTTTGAAATCCGACGATCCAACCCTGGTCTCCGATTACCGTCCTATTGCCATCGTTCCTATCATGGCCAAGGTTGTCGAGCGTGAGGAACAGCGCCGGGTGTACACGAACATGTCCGACAATCATCTTCTGTCCTCATCCCAACATGATTTCCGTCCCCATCTTTCCTTTGAGACTGCTCTGCTCACCGTGAACAATCGCATCTTTCCCAGTATGGATCGTGGTCATCTTTCACTCCTGTGCCTCTTGGATCTCAGTAGATGTTCGATGTTGTTCCTCATGCTCAACTACTTTCCAAGCTCCAGCTCTATGACATTGACCCGGCTTGGCTCTCCTCCTATCTTTTTGGTCATACCCAGTCAGTTTGTATCGCTTTTTCTTCTGGTCACAGAGTGGTCTCCAAGTCCCTCCCCCATAGCATGAGAGTCTTCCAGTGATCAGCCCTTCGCTCTCTGTTATTAACAGTCTTCAGTACCGACCTCAGCCTGCACGCGCCAGACGCTCAGGTCACCCAACACACTGACGACACCCAAATTCTCTTATCCATTGTTACACGCAACACCCCTCCCTTCATCCAGCGCATGGAAACCACCCTGTCCTCCCTAGCATCGTGGTTCCGTGCCCACGGTCTCAAGGCCAACGCATCCAAAACCGAGCTCCTTCTCCTCGGCACCAGACAAAGCACTCGCGGACTTTCTCCTTTCAGTATACGGGTCGGTGGGGAGACCGTTCGGGACAGCCTGACCGCAAAAAGCTTGGGTGTGCTATTTGGCCGCCACCTGAGCTGGGACGCACACAGTAGTGATGCCATAAAAAGTGCGTCAGCGCCCTGATCGGTCTCCGTCACCTGAGACATTTCCTTCCGCAAAGAGTGCTGCTGTGTGCAGTGCATGTTGATGACTAGTGCAGGGCCTAGTCGTCTCGCGCGTGAGATACTGCATTTATGAGGCCACGCTGCTTAAAGAAGTTAACTTCACTGCTTGAGTAGTTACTGGGCTTTGAATGTGTGACCAGGCGTCCCGCGCGCGGGATGATCTGCACTTTGCCACGCCTCGCCAAATGCTGAAGCATGAAGTGTTATCGCTGCTCACAAAGCCCGTGAGCGAGGTGAACCTGGAGGTCTTGTCTGTTTGTTTCAAGCATACGCTGACGCGGGGATCAGTGACCGAACTACCTGCATGGACCATAGCCTGTACCCCCGGCGGTGCGCACGGCGGCAGGACAACGGTCCTTTGCATGCTGAGCGGTGTCTCTCATTAATGAGTTGCTATGGATATCAGACGACTGAAAATGCGGCGTTGGAGGCCAATAGGGAAATAATAGCCGAGCCGTTCAAATCTGGCGCTAGTGAGCACGATTTCTAGAGATACCAGATGTCAGTTGGCTCTCAATTAATGAAGAGTAGGCTGTTTTGTGTTACATGGTATAAGAAGCTCAGCATCCTTGATAGTTATGACGGAAATAAGACTCGCAACCGAATAACTTCAGAACAGCGGCACGACGGAGCACGTGAATGCATGGAAGACTCTTAAAATCACGGATAAATATGTAAGAACATCTCGAGAAGGCGTTAAAACAAGAGAACAGAACGATATGTGGGTCTGCAAACACTTGCAGTACCGCCACGACCATTTCTCAGGAGGCTGGAGTGCTACAAACGAGAGCTAGGGCTGCAATTTCGCACGGCTAAATTGACAGCATCTCAGCGTGATGCAAACGTTCTGTGACACAATCAAACAATGAGGTATTGAGGAGCATGCCTACTAAATGGAGAAATTGTGTTGCCCAGCCCAGTCTTTTCCACTTCCAAGTACACCTTAAGTTATCAGTAGGCGTATTTCATCTTGTCGGATGTTTCCTTCAATATCTTCAAATGTGGAACATTCGTAATAATCGGTAGTAATTGTAGTGAGTCTTAATCGCAGTCATTTGAGTAGTGATCGTGGCATTCGTAGTAAGTCTTAATCGTAGTGATTCGAGTAGTGATTGTGGCATTCGTAGTAATCGGTTCTTCCCAGTCGTCATCATAATGTTACTCTATGTAAGCGGTCAGTAGAAAATTATACCCGATCAACAAATCCTGCATGAAATTTGTTCTTGTTTCGCAACATAAAAACATGGGTACTGCAAGGCAATTTGTAACTTTGTGTAAATGTTGGGCTGTGTTTTATTGCACATTTCATCAATTCTAGGTAAAAATTTTAGCAGACGTGGGCAGCGCAGAGCTGTTGCATTAATAGCACAACATGGCAACACAAAAACCTAACTTTTGTGCGGCACATCAGTGCTTTGATATTTCAGAGTGTGCATACCTTGTGCAACATATTCATTTCATCTCCTAGCGTCATTAAGTGTCCATGTACCCTCACCACGTATATTATAAAGTAAAGGTCTATCTATACCTTGCGAACTGGATGCAAAACCTGGTGGAGATTCGACAATTGTCAGCCAGCAAGATGTGAATGAGCCTTTATGGCTAAAACACAGTCATATTTTCCATGAACGGGCTGATACGTGACACAAAAACCGCAAATGAACAGCTTAATATACGTCATTGGTCCAGCCGAATACATTCCATAAATGGTGAATGGTCATAATACGTGGGCCGCGACAATGTTAAGACTATGAAAAACAGCGTGTCAGGTATTTTTTTCAAAAGGTCGTGACATGCAGGGACGGATCCAGGATTTTGTCATGGGGGGCACACAACATTGTGGAGCCCCTTGGAATTTGGGGCCCCCTTCAAAAATATCCTTGCTTTTCGGTTATTGCGTTTTAAGGCAAGTCGTATGTAATATACATATTATTTATATATACCACACACACACACACACACACACACACACACACACACACACACACACACACACACACACACACACACACACACACATATATATATATATATATATATATATATATATATATATATATATGTATACATGTACATATATCCTTATTCATTTATGTAATAAATACGGAAGCCCATCTTACTGTGCACAGCCTTACAAACCTAGGCGTGCCACGCATGCATACACATAGGGCCCACTCATTTTCTACAGGTCATTTTAAATGCTGTGATTTTGAGGCTAAGCGTTTCGGAACAACAAGCAAAATAAACTTGGTTGACTGCTAGCAACCATCAAAAACAAGCATGGACTTGATTCTTAGCTTATATATTTGCGGCCAGCTGGCTGTGCGATGTAGTCAGCTGATGGCTGATGACTAATGCAGAATTGTTCCTCTGTCATAAAAGAGTGCCACTTATCCAAACATTCAAAATATGTTAAGAATGCGATGCACTAGTATAATACAGCGTCCTAGAATTGCCAACTTTGGGTGTAAAGCAGCACCCCATGAAGATGCAATTCTCACTCCTCTTCCCGTAATTTATGGAACGCTTTCACTCCTGCCTGACATTGTCTACTTGCACATGCCAAACCCATAGTTCCCTTTCTGAGGTTTTCAAATGTCATTCAAAACCAAGCTCACTTGAAACCCCCAAGCATAAACAAGACTCCAGAGAACCTGGACACCTATGACTATGTCCTGCCTCACCTACATCTGAATCATGTTTATATATGTACAGAGCAAGGGCGCCAGGTACCTTCAAGCCCAAGACCCCCCAGCGACTCCAGCCACCTGCACGCATCAAGTTTGGTTTGTTTACAAAATACATCACGATCGGCAGTGGTGTGCCAAACTCAAAGTTTTCACGCATCCCCTATTTATTTTTTTGTCTCACCACCACGCCACGAAAGCAGAGCCTGGTACAAACAGCAGCAAAGCCTGGTAGATAATTTCACTCCACGCATTTCTTTAACCCAAAGAAACTTGACCACAAAATTGCATCACTCCAGAAATGCAGGCGTGAAAAGTTCAAGAAATGTCTTCTAAATAAAATTTGGAAGATTAATATAACCGTTTGAGCATTCATGCTCACAGATTTTAGGTCAAATTAGCTGATTACAATGTTTTGCCAAAAGCATTTTAGTCTTTATATTACTTTACCTACTTTTGTTTTTCGTGAAATCATGCTAGTGTGATGCAACTTTATTCTTCCCTCCTTTCCATTTGCCTTTAGGGGTACTATCCGTTGCGTAAAATGCTGACCGATTTCTCTGTGAGATGCTCCAACTGCAAACTTCCACGTATTTTACACATAAATTGGATTAACTCGCCAGCCGCCCAGACATGTTTTATATGCACCCAGAACTGAACAATTCACAGGGAATGAAGGAGACCAAGTAAGGCACGGAACTTATCTTTACCGTCATTTTTGTCCTGTTAACCTCTCAGTTAGCCATTTTTTGGTTCACGGCGGTGCTCGATAATGATAAATCTAAGCCTTTCGAGTGTCCAACTGACCAGGCTACCTGACAACGCTGTCCTTGTGCTGCCATATGGAGCTTTGGGACAGATCTTACGCGGCTAACATAGAAGTGTTTGATGGCGAAATTCTGCCCTCCGGAAATGTTTACCATGTACACCTCTTACTTCTTTCGCAATTTAATCTCCTAGGTTGGTGGACGTGATTGATATTTCTATTTGTGGGGCGTGTGGGATGACTGTCTGTCAGCAAACTGTGCAAACTTTGGTACTGACTTTTTGTTTTGGTGGACCAGGAAGAAGTGTGGGCTGAAAAAGCCAGTAAGTCTCCTGTGGACCAAGAAATTGCTTTCCTTACGTGCTTTCAACACAAGATTTGTAATTAAGGTTAGCCATTTTCTGTTTCCACCCATCGAGTTTTGTCATAAGACAACTTATGATGTCACAAGGCATGCAATGGGCTTATTTTGTTCCATGTTCTTGATTATTTGCCCCAGATCTCTTGAAGTGGCCGCTTATGGTTGATTGAACCAGATGTTTTCCATAGTTGTCATGGTTTGCGTACTAGCAAATGACTACTGTATCTATGCACTATATTTTTATCACTGGGATACTCTAAGCTGCATAACAATTATAATATGAGGTAAATATCAGCATTAAGCAAATAGTCAGACCATCCCATTAAAAAGATGAAGCCAACATCTCAAAATACGTCATTTAATGTGAACAAACAAGCCTAAATAGATGCCTTTGCTGCGACTGAAAAGGCAAGTAGCAACACTGTCATGGTTATCTAAAAGTTATGTTACTTTTGGAGAAGAGCGATTATTTTGTAGAGCATACCCATTATTACCCCTGACAGAGGTTAACCATGGCAATCAGAATAAGGTGTTCAAAGTGACTTAAAGTGTTTTCATTTATGTGTTGTCAACTTCGTCTGATGTCAACAAGCATACACAAATGAACCGAATATGAATGCAAGTTGAAATCAGCCAAAAAATGTGCTTTATCATGTTTTTGTCATAAGTGCTGCTGTCAACAGGTGGGTGAGTTGAGATAATGTTCAACATATGGGCTACTCTAAGTTAGGTTAAGTTGGTGGAGTGCATGGCAAGTGACAATAGGAATCGTGCAGGAATCATTAACTCACAACTGCTGCTGTAATACCAACAGGCTAGACAGGATGAGATGAAGTAAGGCCTCTTAGTCCCGTCCCGGTCCCGTGCCTCCCCCCCCCCGAACCTCTGCATCCGCCGCTGGCCCGGGCAGCT